CTACTAACTTTTCATTAGTTATTTCATATTTTGAATGAATTTCATTCAAAATATTTGCGATTTGATCATGTGTGTGGCTTCCAGGAAATCGTTTGCAGGCAATGGCATATGAAATCCTTTTAAAAGACTGTGCATCAATCTGAATGAAAACGTACGATAAGTTCTAAATGAAATGACCATTTGCAGATGTCAAATAGATAATTCAACTTAAGAATATTTATTGTTTTATTTATTTGTTCAGGACAAATATTTGCATATTTGAATTTTTTAATATAATCACAATAGCAATTTGATGACCAAATGCAAATTTTTCAAATATTGACTACATTGATTAATAATGTAAATTCTATAATAATTATCCAATGAACAGTCACACCAATGAATCGACGACTGTGCAGGCTACTCCAAATGTCGTACATACATGTTTTGCGTTCGAAATTTCATGTTTTATATTATTCATTTTATTCTTACATGATTCCTCAATTCTACATAATAATGTACGAGCAGATAAATGGTGCAATTTGCCATTTTTATGAATATTCATATCTGTAATGCATTTATAGCTCGAAATTCACTATTCATACAGGTACAAAAGCATTAAATTACATGAAATCGAATAAGTGCTACATAAGGCGTCTGTTCAATTATTATTCAATTTTCCTTGGTAACATTTCAAATGGAAGTAAAAAGTTTTATTAAATATACGAATTGGAAAAAAATTGTCTATTCATCTAAAGTTTTGAAAGCGTGTTGATTATAAATAGTGCCTCACAGCACATGAACGTCCCATAACTTAAAATTGTAAGATGATAACATTACACGGAGATTAATAAACATACTATTAACTTCCCAGTAACATGAAAATATTCGTCCAATCTCATTCCATTAACATTCCAGAAACTTTGCAGGGAATGTTGTATTAATGTGCATACAATATGCCAAGGACCTTGTATGTACACCCACGGTAATTGATTCTGTCCCTCGGAAATTTTCATAAACTCAGAAGTAATCACTTTTCTACATTATGCTTACAGTCCATTCACGATTAATGAAACAAAATCGTGCATAGACTATAAGCATTAATGCAGAAAAGTGATTACTTTTGAGCTTGTACAAATT